GGAGAAGGAGAAGGAGAAGGAGAAGGAGAAGGAGAAGGAGAAGGAGAAGGAGAAGCAGTATTAGTTCCTTTACTAGTAGAACAAGGAAGAGTAAACTAAAGAATAAACTTGCAATAGATCACATTTTTGAATTTGTACAATAACGCCGTGTTCATTTACTCGGGTTTCAACTTCAACAATAGTTTGTTTTTTCAAGGTTGCGTGCGCATCCAACTTGACGGGCCACAAAAGTAAAAAAAGAAAAATTCAGTAAATTGAGAAGCCAGTTTTATATTTAAAGAGGAGAATAATCGATTTTATGATTTCTTATCGAAAAAAAAATTCAAATCAATGTATAATAATACTCGTGTTCTGGTATCGTGGCCCGTCAAGTTCCATAAATTTTGATGCGCACGCAACCTTGAGAAAACAGTCTATACAAACACTTCGTAATAGTCCCTTTCACAGTTCCCTGCGCCATTTTGAAAGGTAACCGTGCCTTTGCATCGAAGCGAGAACGGCGGTGACCTTGACAGTACTGATGGATGCAACTTAATAACTCGAAACTGGAATATTGTCTTTGCTTTCAAAGGCGCAGAAAAACACTTAAATTCTGACTTCACATTTCGAAGTTCCACCTGCCACTAATGTAACAAGTAACTTGTTTCGTATTCAGTTATGAGTCGTTTTTAAATTAATGGCTTGTAACGGCGCAACGTCTCATCTTTTTGTTAATCCTTCATGATGGTGAAAGCAAGAGTTGGAAGATCCGGAAAGGATCTCTATCTTAAGGGAAAATAGCMTGAAAACAAATAAGGAACGAAGCAGCCCGAAAAGAAAAAAAAAATAAATGCAAACGAACAATAAACACAAACAAAATAATCGGGAAACAAACGACAAATCTGATAAACGAAACAACAAGAAGCAAAGCAAAGCAGATTTTACTGAACATAAATTACAAAGAAATGTATGCTAGCAGGCTAAATTTGCCTCTAAATTGAAAACATTTCTTCGTAAAAGTTGTACGGCTCAAAAATTCATACTTTCTCTGTATTATCGACAATCTTCACGAAACCTTACAATTTTACTAATATCTACATGAGCAATTTCACTGTAAGCTCTTTTTGCTGATAAAACGACAAAATATATTTTTTCAATAGCGTGACGTCACAGTAAAATACTATATACAAACAGTGCATCAATACCAGGAACATTGACCTTGGTCAGTATCAAATGGATCATGCAGCCAGTCACGAGTTCTGACAAAATTTCAAGGTCTTTCGTTTATAATTCAAAGGAAACAGGAAGTTCATCGATTAGTTTGTTTGTCACGGCGAAGATGGCAGAACTAGAGGTAAGTACACCAAAAAATCCGTTATCAGACCTAGACAATATTGTATAACAAGTATCTAATTTTTTGTTGCTTTCGCAATATCTCCAACAATGTTGTAGCCAATTCTGCAGTTATTTGTTTACAATTCTCAATGCAAGGACTGACAAAACACTGATAGAGAAATGAAAGAGAAAAGGGATTTAGATGGTTTCTCAAACCAATACATATTAGAATGATCTAAGTATTTGCTAATCAGGCATTAGAAGCGAGGGACTGATAGGACATCTCAAATAGCAGAGCCTAGAAAACATCTCTCATCAGTTATGCTACAGGGACCGCGGACAATATCGAAAAGGGGGGGGTCGGGGAGGCTGGCTTTTTGAAAACTAAGAGCATATTAAGTATCAAATATCAAATTTCGAGGGGAAAACGTTTTTATTTATATTCGTATTTTTGGCGCAAAAAGTGGGGGAGGGGGAGTTGCAGCCTCCCTAGCGCTCACCCCCCTCCCGGCTCCGCAGTCCATGTGCTACCGTATAATTGTCGTCAACCATGCATTCAAAACATTGAATCAGCAAAGGGCGCTAAGACCAGACAGATTAGGTTATAAATATGTGTGTTTGTTTCAGTTCATAAAATGTTTAGTGGATTTTTACGATTTTCAGATGTTTCAGCTCTTTCAGCCGTTTCAGTTTTAGCTTTTTATCTAGACCCTTCCATGATATTGTCGTAAAACACGAATCTTTCGAGGGCACGTGTCTATAGAATATTTTGAAAACGCCTTGATTGACGTACACCAAAACCTACTTCGTGGCGACGGCAAATTGTACGATTTCGCGCGAGTGATTGAGTAGTGCTGTAAATAGAGTTCACTTATCCTATAGACCAAATTCAAAACTTGCACCGATGTGAGGGTTAAGTTGTGAACAAAGGAATCTGGCGTGATTCGTGACTTTTGAATCACGCCAGATTACTTTATTTATTTATTTATCAGGCTTTAACCACATAAACAATTAGTGGTATGGTCCGTACAACAGAGCATGACTCCAAATAAAGTACGGCCACAATATGATCCCCTGATAAGTGGAATAATATTACAAATGGCGTATGTTATGATGACGGATATAATAGTTGATAGTATGATAATAATGATAATGACTGAAAAATTAGTGAACTTAAAATCAACTTTATGTAAATAAGAAAAAGATATGAGTCATATTGAGACATATCATAATAAAATGCTACGTAAAGTTCAGTAGCAACATAATGGTTTGCTAGTAATGTCATTCGTAGTACAGCATTTAGGGCAGATTGATTTCCATGTCTTATAAGTGTCTATGCAGTAAGTGTTCAACAGACCAGCAAAGTAACGGCTATGAAGAGCAGTCTTGAAACTTGAAACAGAATCTAACGATTTGATGTCGGCAGGCAGTTGATTCCGTATTCTGGGCAATCTATTGAAGTATGAGTTCTGGAATTGTTTAGTTCTAGTTTGAGGAACAAGAAGGTCCATCTTGCAGTTGTTTCTTGTGGAGCGGGAGGCATTTCTAGGCTTTACGTAGTCATCAACAGAAAACTTGTAGTAGCCAGCTCGACTTTTGAAATAGAATGTCAAATCAATGATTTCGTGCCAATACGATATAGGTAATAAATCAAGGTTAACCAGACGTTCACGATAATCCAGCCCACTATTAGGAAGGATAAATCTAGTAGCTCTGCGCTGGAGTTGTTCAATAGATTTGATGTTGCAGACTTGTGAGTCACGTCAGATCCCTTTGTTCACAACTTAAGCCTCACATCGGTGCGAGTTTTGACTTTGGTCTATATGGGAACGTCCTTTAGTTTTTTTACAACCAATGGTCTTTCTGGTTTGAATCAGCCGTATATGATATGAATATAGAGATCTTTCCAAAGGTCTTTCCTGGCTTGAACCACAGGAAGCCCAAGCAACGTACTTGAACCTCATTAAAAAGGAATGCATATCGTAAGAATATCTAAAGTAACTTTTGTAGTTACCTCACTTATTTTTGCTTGTGCGTTTTTGCAGTTGTTCGTTGTTTCTGTACGCGATTTGGAACCAATCCGATGAGTTTTAGCCTTTTTAGGGGCTTAATATAAAATAAGATTGATTTTTAAGACGTCAGCCTCATTTCAGAATTTATCCTTCGATCTTGAAACCCATTGTTACATCAAATTTTAACCAAATTACGCAGTCATCGTTCCATTAACGGCAAGTGGTTACTTAATAAATTTTTTTTAATTACCGAAACTACCATCAGTTTTGACCAAATGAAACCCACGCTAATTCTTCTATTTTTCTTGTCTCCTCTCTTACTCTTCAGTTGTCAGGTTTTGATAAAAAGTCCCAAGTATGGCTGCAGCCTTTTTCAGAGATCATCAATTGCATGTTTCCAATGGAGTACGTCTATGGAGAATGGATTTGGTGGCAAGCAACGAGCGAAGCAAAAAGTATCGATCCAGAATCTCTTTGTTCTAAGGCCCCCTCGCTGATCGATACTGGTAGTCAGGTTGAAGGGTTCTGCATCCCCATTTTTTTTGTTGGAAAAACCGAGGAAACGTTTATAGATAATCCTTCGCAAAAGAGAGATCACTGGCAGCCTGACCTCGATGGAATGCACTTGAATGACTGTTTTGTCGTAAATAAAGAGACCGACAAAGCAATTCCCATTTTCACGGTGGAACACGCGTCAGATGATCCAAGATATGTCCATTTGAGGTTTACTGATGAGTGGAAAGAGCATCAACCCAGCTACAAGAATGCTACTTTCGTAAACCATACCTATTCGTTGCCAGGAAAAAACTATGATGATAAAAAATTAAGCAAACTCAATGAAGGCCGCGAGTCGGATGAGCTATTTACGTATGAAATGCACGGACCTGTATGGAAACTGGAAGGAAAAGGTCTTTTGAGCTACGAAGAAGATTCGACGGGTGTCTTCAAGTATCCGTTGGCGTGGCCTGAACCAGCAATGGAGTGGCTTGTTCGTTCACGTACCAACGGTTGGCCATCACTTGAGCTTCTGAAAGACATTCTCGAGTCTGGATGCCACTTGGCGCCAGTTGGAAGAGGCAAACGTCAAAATGAGCCTATGGAATTTCTAGAATATCGCAAAAACCCAGAGAAGCCTTCTTCTTCTTCATGCAGGGAAACTGACCCAGAGAATCCCAACGATCGTGACATCATGGATGAA